GAGATCACTCCATGTGCTCGCCGCTCGCCAAAAGAATTGTTTTACTGTCCATGTTTGCTATTCGTGGATATTTGTAGATATTGGAAGCATGCGCATGGACTGGCATCGTTTGTGCATGGGCTGCAGTTCTAAAGTCCAAATTTTTTTTTCAGTTTGGGACCTGCTTTCTTGTGAGAATTTTTTTTATCCTCTGATTCAAGTATCTTTTTAATCGAATAAATGAATGAAGTTGTTTGTAATAACTCAAGTCCCCACCAAAGAAGGAACAATAACAACAAAAACAATAATAATAATAATAATAATAATAATAACAATAATAATAATAATAACAATAATAATATGTTTTAAGGTAAGATTTAAAAATTAAAATAGAATCAATATTGCGCTGACTTGCTGGAAGCGCGTTCCACAGTGTAGGCGCAGCTTCCCTAAAGATCTATTACCAAAAAAACGAAAATAAACAAGCAAAAAATAAAGAAACTTCCTGTATAGTGAAATCATGAAAGGCATTGCTTGCGTGCGAGAGCGAGCGCACGTTATACTCCACTTACCTTCCTCCAGGCGCGGCGTTCAGTTAGTTCGCGTGGAGTGCGAAAGAAAAAACAAAAAAAAAGGCGGAGCGAAATATAGGAGAGAGAAGCTTGGTGCGAGGACGCAACGAAGGCCTGTGGACAAACAAACTTAACAAAACGTCGTTCCGGTAAACTAGGTTATGGTACACCCTCTGACTGGCCAGTTTTGACACGTTTTGTCAACGTTCAAGTGCTATTGACGTAGATGAGAAATGCGAAATGGCGGTGGTTGAGTCAGATCACTTAGTGTTGAAATCTTTAAGATTTGCCGCTTGGCAAATCCTCTTCAAATAAATACGAAATGCTTGAAGTCAACTTCAGGAATCTTTACGGCTGGTGTTCATAAGTAGCCAACAAAATGGTGGAAGTTAGGTCCCACCGAATTGATCTTTTGCCGTTTATCGTGTCATGCCAGGACTAAAAGGGAAGAATAATCCAAGAAGCGAGTTTGATCATTTCGCCGACATCAAGCGATAATTTAATAATTTAATAATTTATTTCTAATATAGCGATGTTTACAATAAATAAGATCAAGAGCGCTTTACAACAGGTATAATGATAATAATGATAATAATAATAATGATAATGATGATGATGATGATGATGATGGTGATGGTGATGGTGATGGTGATGATAATGATAATGATAATGATAATGATAATGATAATGATAATAATAATAAGAAGAAGAAGAAGAAGAGGAAGAAATATTTACAGGGATAACGTAAAAATATCTGTAAAGATAAATAACTGCTAAGTTACAATGTATGGATAATGTCCAAAATAACAGTATACAAAATGCAGGGTAACCTAACAATCTAGTGTACTATTAAGCCCTAAAAAAATACATTAAACTGAAAAATTGACATCAAGAGAACGCGATCCTGAATGTAAATACAGATGGTCTGAAAATTTATTGATCTCTCCAGCACGGAACGCTGAGAAGCCGACATTCAGAAAACATCTAGCAAGGGAAAGGAGCCATAACAAACTGGACTAGCAAAGGATCGTAATTAC